GGAAAACCTGTCTCCCCTTCTATTGTTCCTGTCTCCCCTGTAAATGTCATATTTGAGTTTTTAGCCAATACAATCACGGTTACATCAAATGTTCCCTCATTTAATGGTATTTTCTTCCTAATATAACTTCCCTAAATGAGATTAAATCCCCTGCCTTCCTCTACTATCCTTATATCATTACTGGATCAATGATAATAACTGTAATAACTATCAATAATAATTGTAATAACTATTTCACATTAAATTGTGTCTTTTTTCTGATAATGTTATAATTGTAGCCTATTCCATCACTTTAATTTAAAATATAAGTTTGTGTAACAAATCCATAACCCACCACAGGCTGGCGCTATTTCCCCAGCACAACAGCCAATGCATACTTTCATCCTAACCAAAATAAATTATCGTTCTATAATCGTCCAATTATTTTATATTTTCCCGCTAACCCATTTCAGTTCGCTATTCAATTTATTTAACTGTTCTCTCTGATTATGCCCTAATTAATAAAACAAATACTTGCTATCGTTTATCAGCATACGCTTAATGACATTCCTATTATCTGAACTATGTCCTGTCTCTTATCTCTCCTTTCCCTCTCCTGCTCCTTCCTGCATTATGGGGGAGGCGCGGGAAATGTCCCTACAATCTTCCTTCTTAGGAAATAATGTCATTCGTACCTGAAACATATTTTCATAAACTTATCTAAAATACTACTAAAGCTATCTTATGCAACTTTTAATACACGTACAAACTATCTCTCTTTCTAGAATACTTCTATTTAAGCTATCTAATTCAACCTTTCACATTTCTCAATCCACATAGTAATCTAGGTATATAGGCCCACTGCGAAAGCTTTGTCTACTGTCCCTACCTGTGTTCGAACCAGGGACATCGCCAGTCACTCCACACCATCTGCGATGCTCTCAAAGTAACTACTCCCAGTTCATAGAGCAAGTGACGTCACCAAATGAAAATCGCAGTAGCTTTCACCTCAGCAGAAAACTCTCTCTCCCTTTGACTCCCTATTGAATAAGTTAGTTTTTCTATTTAACCCCAAAACACGCTACAAATAGTCCATTCAACATTACCAAACTAAATACTCCATCGTACTCATTCGATCAACACATCAGCAGTGGAATTTACACTCATAAATGCAGATTGTTACTCCATGCCTTGAAATGATAAATAGATTTCCACCAATAGTACCATTAATGATCTCGTCTTACCCTCTGACACAAAATGAAGTTCCCTCACTGTACTACGTTAGCTCTACCATGATAATTAGTTCAATTTACCCCTCCATCTGCTTTGTACTATATTATACATTACGTCTAAAACAACATTTACTTAGTTTATTCCACCATCACATGATCCAACAACGCCACAATCTTAAACTCATATGGGGCGGCAGGCAGCCTAGTGATCTATAGCGCCGCGCCAACAACCGAGAGGTCGCCGGTTCCAATCCCCGAGCCGACCAGGCTAAAAATCTGCCGATGTGCCCTCGAGCAAGGCACTCAGCCCCAATTGCTCCCATAAATCGCTCTGGACAAGAGCGTCTGCCAAATTACCAAAAATGCAAATGTAAACATTCTCTACTTTCTCACCCATGATGCTCGGGTGAGCAAGTTTAGAACATTCTCTCGTCAAATACCCACATGCGTTCCCAGCCAACTGCCAGTCTTTTCTGGCTCCAAAAGCCACACTTTCGCTCTCTCCAGCCCCTCCCCTCGCAACTCTACTTTTTGAGGAGCTGTGAGGAGCTGCTTCTCGTCCCAGCGCGCCTCCAATATTCCGCCGTTACTCAAAGCACTCTAGTCTACCCACTTAAATCAAATAATTCCCACCTAACTAGTTAAAGTTGGTGCACGCCCACATCCAAACGACAAACCGAATCATTTCAGTCCAATTGTTCAACCAGCACTTTGTACGGTCAAACATCAAACGCCAAATCAAACAACAAACCAAATAGCCCAAACCAAGCACCCAAAACCAGTACTATGCTATGTCAAACATCAAACATCAAATCAAATACTAAACTGAATTGCTTCGACACAACTATTCAAAAGCAGTATTATGCTATGTCAAACACCAAATGTTATATTTCAAATATATCAATTCAAACGTTCTAGTTCAGTCACACTCATTCATCACTTTAGTTTTATGTTCCCAATTGTTTTTAACGGGTTATATGTTTTAAGCAACCACAAATCCAACAGTTATTCCCAATTTATACCGTTTGGACAGCCACAGACGTCTTTTGATTCCCAATTTGTTTTCTATCAAGGTATACAGGTTTATCATTCACACTTTCATGCATACGACAACACTTGCACTGTCTAACTTTGTATAGTACCTCCTATGGGTGTCTTTTGTTAACGTTTGCACAATTTAAACCTTATTTCCTAATTGTAATTCTCATGATTTACTGTTTTAAAATATTATTTGTATTCACAGCCAAAAATGGTACACAGTTAAACGTAGTATACAGTTATCACACAGCAAAAATAGTACACAGTTATCGCACTCACTCACAATACACAGTCATAATCCTATCACACAGTCAAATATGTCACACAGTCATAAATGACACACTTATATTCCACACACAATCTATTTGGGCACACAGCCGCGTCTATTTTATTCAAAACACTGTGCTGAACCTAGCCGCAACCCTTAGTTACGGACCTTGCCAGTCACCAGTATTATCTAAAATTTCCCGAACCTAGCCGTATCTCAGTTACGGACCTTGCCGGTGTAATTCTTCGAACCTTAGTCGTACTGTCGTAGTTACGAACCTTGCCGATAGCAATTACTTAAACCAATTATTCCCTATATCTTCTGAACCTTAGCCGTATTGTCGCAATTACGGACCTTGCCGGTAGATGTCAGTATTGTCTCCTGAACCTAGCCGTATCTTAACGGACCTTGCCGGTAGAACCAACACTCTCTGGTACCATGGTTTAAACATCACATTTACTAAAGGTTTGCATGTCACAATATTGTGTTTATCTACTCATAATAGTTTCATAATTTAGTTCACTTACATCAGACAGGTGTTTCACAAAATTAATTTGGATAAAGCCAATGTGCAGATCTTTGGTTATTTAACAATAGGTATCTGCTTACCTTTTTAGAAGCCCGGGCAGTTTGTGAAACACACGGTTCGATGAAAGAGGTGACCAAATGGGCCGGACATTTACCCAGCGAAGTCCCTTCTACCAGACCGCGTCGGGGTCACCAATTGTCAAAGTCGCGTCAATTCAAATCTGGTATTAGGAACAAAAGAGGTCAACACGACTTCTAAGATATACTAGTTATTTTAATTAATGCAAAAACCTTCAATGGTAAATATGATGTTTCGTATATACGGGCTCTTTGAAATACCTCGCAGGGCACTTCAGAGAACTAAAGACATTGTTCCAGATTCAATACTCAAATACTCTGACAGAGGGAATTTCCCACTTCTCTGCTGGCCAATTAGAGTAGAGGCTTGAGCGTGGTTTAAACTTACTCAGCCAATCCATTGATGCACCCCTGTTGCCAGCCTCTTCTGTTACCAGGCATACGTTCCTCATAACAACCTGTCATAGTGAGAAGAGCCAGCTCCCTTAGACATCATTCCTACGTCCAAGGAAGGTTCACAGATCACAAAGAACCAGTATAGTCTAGCATTTGAAGACACAATCCTTATCTCATTTTACCCCCTAAAACAGCTCTTCACATCAATCACAGCCTGCCAGGTGTCACAGCCTACATTAGCCCAGTCAAGAATGCATTCTTTCTAAGTTAGTCATCCCATCAATTTAGGAGAATAATAAATCCCCAATAATTTCTATATTGTACTACATAATTGATAAGGCGTAGGCCTATCCCTCCACTACATGTGTATAATTATTAACGCTTTGATCAAGAAAGGCAGTTCGTGGAAAATAAAAACTATTAGGCAACTGAAAAATAATAATAGTTTATAATCTTCTTGTTCTAAATTCTTACTTACCTTATATAGGGGAAGATAACATCCACATCATGCTCGAACAATGCAATTAGGTAGGAAACAATAAACGTGACCAGATGACCAAGAAAGTTGGTAAAAAGCATATTCCCTCCATGAACTTTACGTTCGTTTGTATTTTGTTGTTTTGTCTGTGTTCATTTAATAAATTAATATGTTCGCCTACCACGCAGCACCTTGGTCCGATCCTTCAATCAACGAGCGTGACAATTAGGCTTTCTGTAAACCGATATCTTGCAGTCACTAGGCAGTATTGAACTTCAGTCGTGTTGAGTGTGTGTGTGTAGGCTGGGGTTGGGTTCCTCTTCCGATAATTTCTGCATGTGACAGAAAATAAGAAACACACAGCCGTACATACGATGGCCATACATTTTGTTGGGTTACAAAGTGGGCCCCAAAAAAAAAAAATATATATATATTTTATTTCTCATTTAATTTTTATTTTATTTATGAAAATAATATACCTCAATTAGATAAGTATTCACCCTCCTGAGTCAATATATGTTAGAAATACCTTTGGCAGCGATTACAGCTGTGAGTTCTTGGGTAAGTCTCTAAGGAGCTTTGCACACCTGCATTGTGACATTTTTGCCCATTGTTCTTTTCAAAATTCTTCAAGCTCTGTCAAGGTGTTGGGGATCATGGCTAGACAGCAATTTAAGTATTGTCATAGATTTTCAAGCAGATTAAAGTCCAAACCGTAACTTGGCCAATCGGGAACATTCACTGTCTTCTTGGTAAGCAACTCCAGTGTAGATTTGGCCTTGTGTTGTAGCTTATTGTCCTGCTGAAAGGTGAATTCCTCTCCCAGTGTCTGGTGTAAAGCAGACTGAAGCAGGTTTTTCCTCTAGGATTTTGCCTGTGTTATGCCATGTTCACCTCCTAGTCGGAAGGAAACAAGACAAAGAGAAATAAAAACACTAAAATAAAGGAGAAGAAAAGGAGAATCATTCCCACCACAATGACAGAGCGGTGACTGAAAACTCACTTTAAAGTCGTGGATATAGGTGAAGATGAAGAAGAAGAGGAAGCTGAAGGCCACGATCCACTCACTCACAGCACTCACCAGATGGAACACATAGTCCTGTAATGACGGAGAGTCGGAGAGAGACTGATATTGGCACGTATAGCTTCTCTAGCCTATAAAGCCTATATGGATTCAGAATGTCGTCCATCTTTGTTGTTTATGTGAGTTGTGTTCTTGGTAAAGATGTGCTCATACTGTACCTCGTCTTCTGTTTTTCTATGCAGTGTGGTTTGTGTCACAAAGACAGCACAGATAACAGCTGGATGAAAAATGAAGGAGATATTTTCTTTGATAAAACAATGATCATTCATGATTAAAATCATTTAGACACCATGGGTTACTATTGTTTTCAAGGATACTGGGGGAAACTGCCAGGAAGGCGATGGTTGCAATTCCGGTGCGCATACGACACAGAGGGAACAAAGAAAGACAAACATAGTGAAGTGAAACGTAATACTCAGTAAAATGCAATATTATACCATTTATCCCAGTCCTGTCTAACCATGCATTTCTGCTTTCATTTTCTCAAACATGGGAGGTGTGACTAAAGCTTTTGGCACAGTCTCGGACCTTGTAAAACCCATGGGGGCCATACTTGTGAACTTTTGCTTAGAGGTTTTTAAACCATTGGTCTAACAAGACTAGCTGCTAGCTTTTCTCATAGGCCAACTGTCCTTTTAACCACGTGTTGTGTTCGAATCCTCCATGGGGTCATCATTTTTCCTTTGACATGTGGACTTACATTCATTGTGGTATGGTGTTGAGAAGTAAAGTGCAGTCATCACCTTAAAAATTAAGATTAAGAATGAATTTCATAAGGAGCTAGGGCTACGACTTTCTTCAGCCTTCTTCACAAACACACTGTTGGCCCTAATACTATATGAGGCTACATGGATGTGTACAATCATTAAAACGTTTTATATGCGTTTTTATAATCATTATCTAGCCTAGTGGTTCCCAACCTTTTTTCCTTGGAGCCCCCCCTACTTGTATGTGTCACGCCCTGGCTCTGGGGACTCTTAAATGTTGAGCCAGGGTGTGTAGTGTCTATGTTTTGTTTTCTATGTGTTTCTTTCTAGATCGTTTATTTCTATGTTGGCCAGGGTGGTTCCCAATTAGAGACAGCTGTGGCTAGTTGTCTCTGATTGGGAACCATACTTAGGCAGCCTGTTTTGCACTTGTCATTTGTGGGATCTTGTTCCGGAGAGGTTTGTGTTTTGTTAACCTTAGGACTTCACGTATCGTTTTGTTGTTTTGTTTTTGGCATTAAGTACTCATTAAAAGATGTACGCATATCACGCTGCGCCTTGGTCCGTTACTTATACTTAGTACTCCTGAGTGGCGCAGTGCTAACTGTGCCACTAGAGATCCTGGTTCGAATCCAGGCTCTGTCGCAGCCGGCCGCGACCGGGAGACTCATGGGCGGCGCACAATTGGCCCAGCGTCGTCCAGGGTAGGGGAGGGATTGGCGGGCAGGGATGTAGCTCAGTTGATAGAGCATGGCGTTTGCAACGCCAGGGTTGTGGGTTCGATTCCCACAGGGGGCCAGTATAAACAAAAAAAAATGTATTCACTAACTGTAAGTCGCTCTGGATAAGAACGTCTGCTAAATGACTAAAATGTAAATGTTATAACGATCGTGACAGTATGTAAAAAAAGCTGAGCCCCCCCCCCAAGAAAAGCTGTAAAATAATAATAAATAAATAAAAAGTGATTCATTCCAAATCTTTATTGGCAAAATGTACATCAATTATAGTTTTTCTTTCCTTTTCTCTTTGGTTTGCCCTGGTTATCTTTGTGTATAATCAACTGTAGGCCTATACACACACATTGTTACCAAAATAATAATAATGATTCATTATCAGGGTAATAAGTGATTAACAGCACCTATATGGCTCTGTCCTAGATCTCCCTCAGACCAATTAACTGAAACGGGGCAGTTTGTTGAATACACACATGCACATCATGTGAACACTGGTTTTGACACAGCTATCATGTATGTGTTATAAAAATAAAAATAAGTAACAATAACAAACAGTACGTTACAATCAATAACTTGTTCCTTCCTTAAAAAAAAAAAAAGAATAGCCACCTTGGGCCTGCATTCCTCTGACCAGGGATGGGATGTCAGGTGTGACGCTAGTGACAGCCAGCCTAAAGTCCTGGTGGACATCGAGCCTGTTACGGGCTTTTGTTATTATTGTTCCAAGCACGCTGAAGGTCGTCTCAGACAGGTACGTAGTGCTGAATGGTAGAATAACCCCTGTAGCTGCGTGTTTGGCCAGTCTGGGTGCAACAGCGTGTCCTTTGACAATCCAAAACTTGTTGTATCCGTTCTCGTGGAAATATTTATTTGACATAGAATCGGCTTGAAGGTCAGCAAGCTCATCTTCACAGCCAAGGTATTCCACATCCTCGAGACTGCAAATATAAGGGTCCATCACCCACGATTCCTTTGATAAGTATTCGTCAACATCGGCAAAACGGGATTTAATTTCCTCCCGAAGCATGTTCATGTGCCTGGTAAACTCAGTGCGCAAAGACGCAGGCAGTGCCACCAGACTGTTTCATCAGCAGTGGAAATTGTTGTAGCTCCCCTTTTGTCATTTTTCCAACTCTGTACTCCAGTTTCCGCACAAAAGCGTCGAGAGATTCGTCTGACGCTGTTGTTGTTTCATCCAACTGAATGGCAAAGGGAACATTCCTAAGTCATTCGTGCAGCTGATTTTGACCATCTCCAGCCATTTTATCAATTCTGTCTTTGACAGTGTTGTCAGAGAGTCGGACGGTTCTCACTTTATCCACCACCTGTGGGCCATACAGCCTCTCTACAATTTTCAGGCAGACGGGTTTGATTAGCTGCTCTCCAATATTGTGCAGCTTTTTAGCCTTGGCAATTAATAGCGAACACTCAAATGACGCCTCCGTGGCTCTGTGTACATTGCTGATGTCTGTGGATCTTTTTGATAGTGCCAACTGCTTCTTCCTCTCAAAAAAATCCTGACCTTGGCTTCATGCTGTCATTAGCTAGCTTCTCGCCACAAATGACACATTCTGGCCGAGTCCTATCCTGTCCTTCAATAAAACCGAAGTTAAGATAACTCTTGAGATATAGCCTTTCTTTCTTTTTTGATGATGAGTCATCGGCACTTTTACGTTTCTTAGACATGTTGTTTTATTCATAAAATAGTGATGCTCTGACTGCAGGAAAAACGAGCTGCTAGCTGAAACTGATTGAGCGCGGGCCATTGCCGTGCACACTTTTTTAGATTGGCTTTGGCATTGCAAGCATATGATCTTCAATAACATTTTTAAATGTATTAATTTTACAATTAAATTATAGTGGAACATTTTATGCATGTTTGACCTCAAAGCAAATTAGAACTCTGGCGCCCCCCTAAGGGGCGCAGCTACTCCAGGAATCCACTGAGATGAAGCCTAGCCTCCTCCTGGCTTCACAATTTATGAAGCTGATGCAATAAATGACACTAATGCCCCGTTTACATCGTGATGTATTTCATTGCGCCGTACGTCATCTCCACGGAGTCTTGCTCCGCTACTAAACGGTCATGGCTAAAAGGGATCCAGCTTTTGTCAAATGAACATCAGCTTTGCCGTTTCGTAGCAGACTCTGTGAAGATGACCTATGGCATAATGAAATATGTCACGATGTAAAGGGGCATTAAAAGTTCAGAGCAAGAAAGTGTAGGCTATATAGAAATAATTAGGCTCAAATTGAAAAATCATTCAACTAAATACTGAGGATTTCCATTATCTTAATCGAGGTGTAGATTACATCTCACGTTCCAGTGTTCGAATTTGTAGCCTAAACAAGGCATGGGATTTCTGTTAATGTGACTCTGTGCAACCAATGGCACTTGTAGATTTGACAGCTCTAATGCAGTTCTACCTCAGACACCACCAAAACAGCCTCTATGGGGATGTCGGCTAAAGCGGATCTGATTGAATAGAGCCCTTAATCTGATCTTCCTTTCCTGTCAATTCTGCAACACATGCTATTGACTGACAGCCTTAGCCTATATAGACATTCAGGTCAACAATAGAGCTATTTTCATTGTCATGGACGTGTTATTAGCTGGGCTAGTTTACATCAACACCATTTTCAACCTGGTCTCAGAGCATTTCGTATTATTCCGTACGTAACTCTGAAAAGTTCCATTTAGTATGACATTATATGTTTTGTATGGTTACATAGGACAGATGGTTACTTAACCCCTAACCCTAGCTAATGTTAGCCAACTAGCTAACGTTAGCCACCTAGCTAGAATTCATAACATATCATATGTTTTGCAAATTCATAACATATAGTACATTTCACAATTCATAACATATTGTATGTTTTGCAAACTTGTAACATATAATACGAATTGTAATTCGTAACATATGATAAGAAATGGGTGATGGACAACCACAAATTAATACATACCATATGAAACATAACATATCATACTAAATGGAGTGTCTCGGATTTACCTACAGAATAATGCGAAATGCTCTGAGACCAGGTTGCCATTTTTGGACACAATAGCTATTATAGGTAGAATGTTGCAGGCATTCACACCAGATAGTGTCCTACTTGCTATAACCTATTACATATGGGACTTTAGTGTAGCATACACTTCAAATATTTATTAGGCCTACTCTTATAATGCTTGTACTGTGAATCGAAGAGCAGGCAACATGTAGTAAATGAATAATATGAAAGGAGTCAGTCAGACCTAAACACAGGCTATTAGGAAAGGCTTAATAGAGAGCAATAGTAATGGCGTCTTTTTGTAGGCACTAACTCTGCCATGGTTCGTTAGACAAAGCCTATTGGAAAATGAATGGCGTTTTCCTAGGGTTTTTGGATAAACACCGGAAATAAGGTCTGTGGTAAAAGGAGATCTTATACGTTTTGTTCTATGAGATAATCTTCTTCAGCTAACGCCACTTTTGTGAATTGTTAAGCATTTATGTAATAAAAAAAGCACATAAAAGGCTTCATAATTCTAAAGGTCATGTTAACTGACTGATATTATCTCATAGAACAAAAAGTATATGATCTCCTAAGCCTGTGTTAACCTCAGACCTTATTTTTCTGCCCTTATCCCAAAACCCTATTCTTTCCCCATTCATTTTCCCCATTGGAATAGGACTACAAGCTGGCGAGCTCTATACATAATCTTCGTCACTACAATGAATATAGGCAAAATTATACTGAACAAAAATAGAAACGCAAGATGTAAAGTGTGTTTCATGAGCTGAAATAAAAGATCCCTGAAATTTTCCATACACACGAAAAGCTTATTTCTCTAGGCTAGTTGGTAAATTACTGCTATTTGACAACACCACTGAGGCAAAGACTTTGACTTTTACTACGTCTGAATACGTTTCATGTTATATAATCCTCCTACTTTTTTTCAGTGAAAGTACATGGATGTGTGTTATTAAATGGATGAGCAAAACCATGAGAAAACCCTTTTGAATTTTGTAAGACGTCAGTAGCCTATTTAAAGAAGCATCATGCAAAAATATATTGGCACGCTCCACTAAGGTTGCGTCTACACAGGCTGCCCAATTCTGACATTTTTTCCACTAATTGGTCTTTTGACCAATCAGATCAGCTTTGAAGAAGTTCTGATGTGAAAAGATCTGATGTGAGCATGCAAGTACAGTGCTCAACTTGGGAAAACGAAACGGGATGTATTTTTGGCCCTACAATGCAATACGATTTCTGTTTATAATCGCAGCTTTTGGTGAGTGCAAATAAATAAACAATATTTCCATTACCCACACTGATTTAAATAATAAAGACGTGTGTAATTATTCTTGGAAAATACAAACTATTAGGCAACTGATAAATAATCATAGCCTAATCTTGTTCTTACTTACCTTCTATAGATGGCGATATTGAGTTGTTTCATATAAGATATAGGTCCCGTGTAGCTCAGTTGGTAGGGCATGGCGTTTGCAACGCCAGGGTTGTGGGTTCGATTCTCACGGGGGGCCAGTATGAAAATGTATGCACTCACTAACTGTAAGTCGCTCTGCATAAGAGCGTCTGCTGAATGACTAAAATGTAAAATACGATATGGGTAAGATGAAACGACTCAATATCGCCATCTGCTGGCCTTTGAGCTAAAACCGCCCTTGAGTGCAATTTAGGAAGAAAAAACAAGATGCAGAAAACTGACAGGTAAATTCCCTCATGCCAATATTCCTCAGAGTTGAGATTTGAAGGAGGAACGTCATTTATAGGCCACCTAAAAGTTACATCTCTTTCTGTAGGCTACACTAAACTGTAATATTGCAGTCACATGGTCTAGGCAAGATGGAACTTCAGTCATGTTGTGTGTTTGTGTAGGCTGCGGTTGGACCTATATGGGTTGGGCCAGACCTCTTCAGGTAATTTCCACATGTGACAGAAAATAAGACACACACAGCCCTACATTCCATGGCCATACACACACTCTTAGAAAAAAGGGTTCCAAAATGGTTCTTCAGCTGTCAACATAGGATAACCCTTTTTGGTTCCAGGTAGAACCCTTTTTGGTTCCAGGTAGAACCTTTTTGGTTCCAGGTAGAAACTTTTTGGTTCCAGGTAGAACCCTTTTGGTTCAAAAGGGTTCTACCTGGAACCAAAAAGGTTCTACCTGGAACCAAAAAGGGATTTTCCAAGGGTTCTCCTATGGGGACAGCTGAATAACCCTTTTAGGTTCTAGATAGCACCTTTTTTTCTAAGATTGCACACACACACACACACACACACACACACACACACACACACTCATTCCATAACACACACAAAACACAGGCATATACTCATTATGCTGTAAACAGATAAACAATGTGACTCATACTCAGAAATAGCCTTAGCACCAACGCCTGAACCAAAACACTTTTCTTTCTTTCTATTCTAAATTCATTTGTATTTATTCACTTCATAGGTTTGTCTAATCTGAGTGGGGAGGCAGAGGGTTGTCACTAATTGGGTCCTTCCACCAACCCAGTGCCTTTTGAGAAGTGTAGTTTTGGCCAGAAAAACATTCGACTTTACCTAATTTTAACATTCTGTCTTAAAGAGCACGTTTAACTAATTTTCAGTTTTCCCCTCCCCATATAAACCACCCCCAGACAGTCAGAGCAAAATTCTTGCTTGAGAAATTGCTATTTTCTAGGAAGCTATTTTTATTAATTTTTGACAATTTTAATTGAAAACAATCACAGTAAGGTACTTAATTGTTACCCAGAAATGATTTGATATAGAGATTTAAAAAAACGGCTGCATTGGACCTTTAATTAACTCAGGAACCACACCTGTTTGGAGCCACCTACTTTGTATCCTCAGTTACTCAAGGGTTTCCTTTATTTTGGTAGTTACATCAGGTAACTTAGGGTCATGTATAAACATTTATAAAAATGCCCATTTGCCCATTATTTTGGCTACCATGGCTCGAAGAAATCTCAGAAACTTTGAAAGAGGGCTCTCAAAGGAGCATAGGGGGTTTAACATGTGTTTGTGTGTGTCTCAGTCACCAGATCTCAACACAATTGAACACTTATAGGAGATTCTGGAGCGGTGCCTGAGACAGCATTTTCCACCACCATCAACAAAACACCAAATGATGGAATTTCTTGCGGAAGAATGGTGTCGCATCCCTCCAATAGAGTTCCAGACACTTGTAGAATCTTTGCCAAGGCGCATTGAAGCTGTTCTGGTGGTACCTTATGTTGGTTTCCTTTATTTTGGCAGTTACCTGTACATCCATGTACTTTTATGGAGAAAAGATCGAGGTCTATACAACATTTAAGTTGATTGTACATAGTAAAAAAAAAAATGTTCAAGAGTCTTATGGACTTGTCAAATAGCTGTCATGTACCGTAACCACTATTACTCTCCTGGTGGAAACCACCGCGAAAGCAGTTGATTAAGCGCAGGTTCGAGCCCCCCTCACTTCCAGCATTTTTGTTAAGGGAAAACACTGTTCACTGCTGGTCCACCCATATGTGACAAAGTGGATGATTATAATGCATATAAAACTAGGGGCACAACTGGTTTTAGAAGTGGGGGGGACATTATTATAATATATTTTTTATTTCCAGTCGGATAAACACTCCAAACAGCCTACCCAACCACACGGAGGCATCTGCATGGTCTTAAAGCACACCGTTGCCTTGTTTTGCATCACATTCCAATGATAAAACTGAGGGGGACAAAAATGCAATTTCAGAATGTGGGGGGGGACATGTATGTAATATAGCCTATACTATAGTAGAGATGATTATGTGTGTAGCAGTGCCAGTAGCCTATGTGTCGGTCCTCATTTTTACATTGAATTCATGGATTTCACATGAGAGGGTTCCAGGAGTGATGCATTTGTATTGCCGTAGGACTATAGACTATCTCACACATTGTTGAAGTGCATTGAAGTATACCATACAAAGTCCCATATGCATTAATAGGTTATATAGCATAAGGAGGACACTGTCTGATGTGAATGAATACAGGCTATAGCTATATTATTGAGTTCATATAGTACAGAAAATGCTAACCAGAGAGTTAGATGACTTTGTCAAATATAAGTAATTCACAATCTGATACTGATACAGTCAAATGTCTTCCTCCGTTAATTAAAGACTGTCGATTTGGAATCTTTTACACACGGTAAGCTAAGCGTGGGCTCGAGTACGGACTCATGATAAACTTATTTAAAATAACTGCAATACTGCCATCTGTAGGATGATAGCGAGAGTGCAACCTGTAATCCTACTGTATTATAGTTTGTAATGCTTGTCCTGGAGTCAAATAATGCATATGTGACAAAGTTGATGATTATAAAAATGCATATAAAACATTGTAGGCCTACATTTATGTGTACACATCCATGTAATATAGCCTATGCAATATCATTATTAGGCCATAGCAGTGTGTTTGTCTGCAAGGCTGAAGAAATATTTGACTTACCTTCATGTCTAAAAGTAATGATGGACTGTTGTTTCTCTTTGCTTATTTTAGCTGTTCTTGCCATAATATGGACTTGGTCTTTTACCAAACAGGGATATCTTCCTACCTTGTCACAACACAACTGATTGGCTCAAAAGCATTAAGAAGGAAAGAAATTCAACAAATTAACTTTTAACAAGGCACACCTGTTAATTGAAATGCATTCCAGGTGAATACCTCATGAAGCTGGTTGGGAGAATGCCAAGAGTGTGCAAAGCTGTCATCAAGGCAAAGGGTGGCTACTTTGAAGAATCTCAAATATAAAATATATTTTGATTTGTTTAACACTTTTTTGGTTACTACATGATTCCATATGTGTTATTTCATAGTTTTGATGTCTACACTATTATTCTACAATGTAGAAAATAGTAAAAAATAAAGAAAAACCCTTGAATGAGTAGGTGTGTCCAAACTTTTGACTGGTACTGTATGTGGCCGTCATTTTATTCAGACACCGTTTCGTTTTTGTGTTTGGAACATAGAAATACTTCACACATAGCCCTGTATGTATTTTGAATTACTTTATTACAATGGTATAGATATGCCTCCTCAATACCCTGAGTTTTTCTTGAGCAAAATACCTATCTAGAAAAACATGTACATTGTAATATAAAACGATTAACCTTGGAGTAGGTAAGTGTACATACAGCCTCTATCCATAAACTGGTGATGCGTGAAATTAATTTTCTATATCAACTTCAGGTGCCGCAACTTCACTGGGGACAGGGGGGAAATGTCCCCCCCACATTCTGAAACCAAAGTTGCGCCCCTGATCAACTTGATCTTGTGATTTTCTTGCACAATACTGACAATGGGTTAACTCTTTCCTTAACCCAACAACTTTTCTAATTGCTGGTCACAGGATGTGTTTGTTTTGTGGTTAACCCTTAAGATTGAAGTTATGTTGCAATGGATACAGTATAAAGAAAGAAATCATACCATTCAGATAATCTCATATACATTTGCCTTATAAAAGTAGAAAACATTTACATTTACATTTTAGTCATTTAGCAGACGCTCTTATCCAGAGCGACTTACAGTTAGTGAGTGCATACATTTTTTTATTTTCATACTGGCCCCCCGTGGGAATCGAACAAAAAAAAAGTAATACATTTGATTTAGTAAATTTTCAGATTTAAAGGTTCAAATCAATGTTTTGTCAGGAATAGTCCACAAATTCTGTTCTCAGCTTCAGAGTAAACTTCTGTAAGAAACAAGACAAAGATAAATAAAAACACTCAAATAAATGAGAAGAAAAATTGAATCATTCCCACCACAATGACAGAGCGGTGACTGAAAACTCACTTTAAAGTCGTGGATATAGGTTAAGAAGAAGAAGATGAAGCTGAAGGCCACGATCCACTCACTCACAGCACTCACCAGATGGAACACATAGTCCTGTAATGACGGAGAGTCGTGGAGAGAGACTGATATTGGCACGTATAGCTTCTCTAGCCTATAAAGCCTATATGGATTCAGAATGTCATCCATCTTTGTTGTTTATGTGAGTTGTGTTCTTGGTAAAGATGTGCTCATACTGTACCTCGTCTTCTGTTTTTCTATGCAGTGTGGTTTGTGTCACAAAGACAGCACAGATAACAGCTGGATGGAAAATGAAGGATATATTTTCTTTGATAAAACAATGATCATTCATGATTAAAATCATTTAGACACCATGGGTTTTCAAGGATACTGGGGGAAACTGCCAGGAAGGCGATGGTTGCAATTCCAGTGCGCATACCAAACAAGGCCAAGGAACATCCATAGGGGTAGGCCTTATAGGATATGATGGACTGGAGGATGGTGTACAACACACCAGAAAAGAAGAAGAGTAATGCACCTGCATCATGAACTGACGTAACCGTTGTCTCCTGGGCAAAAAGAACACACCAGAGAGATCATGTATGGAATATCACACTGTCACTTAAAGGTACAAAACCCCTCCATCTTCTCACTAAAGGGGTGACAACCCACTGGGCAAAACGGGTTGAATCAATGTTGTTTCCATTTCATTTTAACAAAGAAATTCAATGTGATTACATTGAATAAACGTGGAAAACTGATTGGATTTTTAAAAAGTAATCAATGTAAGGGAATTTCATTTTTTCACCCAACTTTTATCTTAAATCCAATGAAATCCTACTGGGCACACACTGGTTGAATCAACGTTGAGTAGGCATTGAATTGACATCTGTGCCCAGTGGGATTGTGAAATGTTTTATTGATTTCACGTTGAATTCACGTTGTTAGTTGACAACTCAACCAAATGTAAATCAAAACTAGTTGTTGAACTGACGTCTGTGCCCAGTGGGAACCTACCTGGAAAGTAGCAACAAAACACATCCCCAAACAAGAAAGCATTCCAATCCAGAAAGCAGCCTGGTTCAGTGCTGGGGGCACACCACCTGCCTTCTCATTGAGCTTTTCCACAAACTTGTATCTGGCATATATGGTGGCCATACCTGTAGAGGAATTGGCATGGCATATGGAGTGAACGTTTTTATTAACATTTTTCACATGTAGACAGTACACGCTCACCTGCTGCAATATTTATTTATTTGCACCTTAAAACAGAGGGAACAAAGAAAGACAAACATAGTGAAGTGAAACATAATATTCAGTAAAACGCAATGTCATACCATTGATCTCAGCCCTGTCTAACCATGCATTTCTGCTTTCATTTTGTCAAAATTGGGAAGTGTAAATAAAGCGTTTGGCACAGTCTCTGACCTGGAAAAACCCATGGAGTTGCTTAAAAGGATAGTTCACCCAAATTACAAAATAACACATTGGTTTCCTTACCCTGTAAGCAGTCTATGGACAAGGTATGCCAGCAAATCATGCTTTGGTTTAGTTTCCCTAGCACCGTTTCCACATGCTAACGTTTTAGCATTTGTGGCACAAATCCCATTTAAGTCATGGGACCAATATTAATATTTTTCACGCATCATGTCCAAATCATCCAAAAGTATCTACAATTGAGTGTGAAGCTCAACAAAGTCACTTATAGATGATTTGAACATGATGTGTGAAAAAATGCTAATATCGGTCCCATGACGTTAGCATGTGGAAACAGTGGTGGGAAACTAAATCAAAGCATGGATTGCTGTCATATATGGTTCATAGACTGCTTACAGGGTAAGGACACCAATATGTAATTTGGTAATTTGGGTGAACCATCCCTTTACGCTAAGACAAAAAGCCCTTTCATGGTTTTGGTGTCTTTCTGTGCTCACCTGCAAATGCAGTGATAACCGTCATCAAGCCAAAAATACAACTCTCTGGGGGATTAGCCCCAGTGTCACTAAAGAAAGAAGAGTTCAGGGTTAATGTGTGTTTTAAAGCCATGTCTGGAAGTCTTAAATAATCTGTATTTAACTTAAACAATACATGATATAAAAAATCATTATACACATTAAATTATAACAGAACAGAAAGTGATTTAATTTGTTATTAAATGAAATAAAAAATGCTCATCAAAATAATATCATACCATTGACATAATCTATTAATAATAATAATATTCCATTTAGCAGACGCTTTTATCCAAAGTGATTTACAGTCATATGCGCATACATTTTTACGTATGGGGTGGTCCCGGGATCGAACCCACTACCCTGGCGTGACAAGCGCCATGCTCTACCAATAGAGCTACAGAGGACCAGATTAACCAAATAGACAATTGCATTTCAATTGAATTAGTTATCAAACCATACCAGTTGACGACAAACAAATAATTCAGTTATATCTACGGAAAATATTACTGAATGGAGGGCTTTAATCGTTTGAATAGAGCGCTAATTAGTTCAACCATTATTCATTATCTATGCCTATTTAATGTTAGTTTGCATAATGTGTTAATTGTCTATCTGCTCAATAAACAAAGCTGTTTAAATGTCAAATGAGGACACACACACCGTGCATTAAGTAGTTCACAGGCCCCTACACTGTAGACTACACAGCTGGGAACTGGGTACCAGCCAAGTACAGCGTTCAACTGTGGTGGGGAAAACGAAACTGATTTATTTTTGTTGCAAGAATGCGATACGATTTCCGTTAATATCGCCGGTTTTGATGAGTGGAAATAAATAAACATTATTTCCATTACCCACACTGATTTAAATAATAAGAAGTGTATGCTATTATCACGGTTTAATGAAGAACGGCAAATTCGTGGAAAAATAAATGCTCAGGCTGCTGATAAATAATCATAATCTTACCTTATATAGGGGAAAATAACATCCACATGATGCTCGAACAATGCAATTAGGTAGGAAACAATAAACGTGCTGGATGACCAGATGACCAAAAAAGTTGGTAAAAAGCATATTCCCTCCATGAACCAAAACATATTGTCAGCAATAAGGAAAAGTTACCACGCAGACAGACCGACCTTAGTGCAAATTATAAAAATTTAATACGATGCAGAATACTGACAGGTAAAAACCCTCTGCCAATAATCCTCAGAGTTGAGATTTGAAGAAGGAATATAATTAGGGTAATCCTCCACCAAAAAGTGACATCTCTTACTGTAAACTATACTGTAAACGGCTATTTTGCAGTCACGTGGTCTGGACAGTATTGAACTTCAGTCATGTTGAGTGTATGCTTCCTTCCGTACCTCTTCCGATCATTTCCGCATTTAACAGAAAATAAGACACACAGCTCTACATAAAATGTCATCCTCTTCTGAACCAACATTTATTTATTTATTTCTAACTTCATTTTTTCATTATTCATTCTAATCTGAGCGTGTAGGCCTGCAGAGGGATGCATCCATTCTACACTGAGTATACAAAACATTAAGTACACCTGCTCTTTCCATGACATACACTGACCAGGTGAAAGCTATGATCCCTTATTGATGTCACTTGTTAAATCCACTTAAATCAGTGTATATGAAGGGGAGGAGACAGGTTACAGAAGGATTTTTAAGCATTTAGACAATTGAGAAATGGATTGTGTATGTGTGCCATTCAGAGGGTGAATGGGCAAGACAAACCTTTAAACATGGTATGGTAGTAGGTGCCAGTCCCACCAGTTTGAGTCAAGAACTGCAATGCTACTGGTTGATTCACGCTCAACAGTTTCCCGCGTGTATCAAGAATGGTCCACCACCCAAAGCACATCCAGCCAACTTTACACAACTGTGGGAAGGAATGGAGTCAAAATGGGCCAGCATAGAGTGGCGCCGGAGAAGATGGCTGCCGTTTTACAGCCCTCTAACCAATTGTACTATTATGTGTTTTTTTCCGCATTATTTGTAATTTATTTTGTACATAATGTTTCTGCCATCGTCTCTTATAACCAAAAAGAGCTTCTGGATATCAGGACAGCGATTACCTCGTATTGGACAAATATTTTTTCTTCAACAAGGCGGCCACAAAGGATATCCTACAGACACCCGACAAGGCCCAAATCCCCGTCATTCGCATGAGGGAGAGACGGAGATATCGTGGACGTAGGTCGGGGTGCCTTGTAAGGATCCGACAGCGAGCGAGTAAACTGCCGCTCCCATCAATCCTATTAGCCAATCTTCAATCATTGGAGAATAAATTGGATGACCTAAGATTACGGTTATCCTACCAACGGGACATTAAAAACTGTAACATCTTATGTTTCACCGAGTCGTGGCTGAACGACGACATGGATAACATACAGCTAGCGGGCTATATGCTACATCGGCAGGATAGAACGGCTGACTCCGGTAAGACAAGGGGTGGCGGTCTGTGTATAATTATAAACAACAGCTGGTGCACAAAATCAAATACTAAGGAAGTCTCAAGGTTTTGCTCGCCTGAGGTAGAGTATCTTATGATAAGCTGTAGACCACACTATTTACCAAGACAGTTTTCATCTATATTTTTCATAGCTGTCTATTTACCACCACAAACCAATGCTGGCATTAAGATTGCACTGAATGAGCTGTATAAGGCCATAAGTCAACAGGAAAACGCTCATCCAGAGGCAGCGCTCCTAATGGCCGGGGACTTTAATGCAGGGAAACTTAAATCCGTTCTACCTAATTTCTACCAGCATGTTAAATGTGCAACCAGAGGAAAAAAAACTCTAGACCACCTTTACTCCACACACAGAGACGCATACAAAGCTCTCCCTCGCCCTCCATTTGGCAAATCTGACCATAACTCTATCCTCATGATTCCTGCTTATAAGCAAAAACTAAAGCAGGAAGCACCAGTGACTCGGTTAATAAAAAAGTGGTCAGATGATGCAGATGCTAAGCTACAGGACTGTTTTGCTAGCACAGACTGGAACATGTTCCGGGATTCTTCAGATAGCATTGAGGAGTACACCACATCAGTCACTGGCTTCATCAATAAGTGCATCGATGATGTCATCCCCACAGTGACCGTACGTACATACCCCAACCAGAAGCCATGGATTACAGGAAACATCCGTACTGAGCTAAAGGGTAGAGCTGCCGCTTTCAAGGAGCGGGACTCTAACCCGGACGCTTATAAGAAATCCCGCTATGCCTTCCGACGAACCATCAAACAGGCAAAGAGTCAATACAGGACTAAGATTGAATCGTACTACACAGGCTCTGACGCTCGTCGGATGTGGCAGGGCTTGAAAACTATTACAGACTCAAAGGGAAGCACAGCTGCGAGCTGCCCAGTGACACAAGACTTCCAGACAAGCTAAACCACTTCTATGCTCGCTTCGAGGCAAGCAACACTGAAGCATGCATGAGAGCACCAGCTGTTCCGGATGACTACGTGATCACGCTCTCCGTAGCCGATGTGAGTAAGACTTTTAAGCAGGTCAACATTCACAAGGCCGCAGGGCCAGACGGATTACCAGGACGTGTACTCCGAGCATGTGCTGACCAACTGGCAAGTGTATTCACTGTCATTTTCAACATGTCCCTGACTGAGTCTGTAATACCAACATGTTTCAAGCAGACCACCATAGTCCCCGTGCCCAAGGACTCTAAGATAACCTGCCTAAATGACTACCGACCCATTGCACTAACGTCTGTAGCCATGAAGTGCTTTGAAAGGCTGGTCATGGCTCACATCAACACCATTATCCCAGAAACCCTAGACCCACTCCAATTTGCATACCGCCCCAACAGATCCACAGATGATGCAATCTCTATTGCACCCCACACTGCCCTTTCCCACCTGGACAAGAGGAACACCTACGTGAGAATGCTATTCATTGACTACAGCTCAGCATTCAACACCATAGTGCCCTCAAAGCTCATTACTAAGCTAAGGATCCTGGGACTAAACACCTCCCTCTGCAACTGGATCCTGGACTTCCTGACGGGCCGCCCCCAGGTGGTAAGGGTAGGTAACAACACATCTGCCACACTGATCCTCAACACGGGGGCCCCTCAGGGGTGCGTGCTCAGTCCCCTCCTGTACTCCCTGTTCACCCATGACTGCATGGCCAGGCACGACTCCAACACTATCATTAAGTTTGCCGACGACACAACAGTGGTAGGCCTGATCACCGACAATGATGAAACAGCCTATTGGGAGGAGGTCAGAGACCTGGCCGTGTGGTGCCAGGATAACAACCTCTCCCTCAACGTGATCAAGACAAAGGAGATAATTGTGGACTACAGGAAAAAAAAGAGGACTGAGCACGCCCCCATTCTCATCGACGGGGCTGTAGTGGAACAGGTTGAGAGCTTCAAGTTCCTTGGTGTCCACATCACCAACGAACTATCATGGTCCAAACACACCAAGACAGTCGTGAAGAGGGCACGACAAAGCCTATTCCCCCTCAGGAGACTGAAAAGATTTGGCATGGGTCCTCAGATCCTCAAAAAATTATAAAGCTGCACCATCGAGAGCATCCTGACTGGTTGCATCACCGCCTGGTATGGCAACTGCTTGGCCTCCGACCGCAAGGCACTACAGAGGGTAGTGCGTACGGCCCAGTACATCACTGGGGCCAAGCTTCCTGCCATCCAGGACCTCTATACCAGGCGGTGTCAGAGGAAGGCCCTCAAAATTGTCAAAGACTCCAGCCACCCTAGTCATAGACTGTTCTCTCTGCTACCACACGGCAAGCGGTACCGGAGTGCCAAGTCTAGGTCCAAAAGACTTCTCAACAGCTGCACTGCCCCCCCACCCCATCTTTTTACGCTGCTGCTACTCTGTTAATTATTTATGCATAGTCACTTTAACTCTACCCACATGTACATATTACTTCAACTACCTCAATGTGACTCTGCACCGGTACCCCCCTGTATATATAGCCTCCCTACTGTTATTTTATTTTACTTCTGCTCTTTTTTCTCAACACTTTTTTGTTGTTTTATTCTACATTTTTATTAAAAATAAATGCACTGTTGGTTAAGGGCTGTAAGTAAGCATTTCACTGTAATGTCTGCACCTGTTGTATTCGGCGCATGTGGCCAATAACATTTGATTTGATTTGATTTGATTTGATTTACTTTCATCACCATGTCACCATGTCAAATTAAATCAAATCAAATGTTATTGGTCGCATACACATATTTAGCAGATGTTATTGTGGCTGTAGCAAAATGCTTGTGTTCCTAGCTCCAACAGTGCAGTAATATCTAACTATACACAACAATACACACAAATCTACAAGTAAAATAATGGAATTCAGAAATATAGAAATATTAGAACGAGCAATGTCGGAGTCCTTAGTATATATATATAGTAACAGTCAAATCTTTGGATACACCTACTCATTCAAGGGTTTTTCTTTATTTTTACTATTTTCTACATTGTAGAATAAGAGTGAAGACATCAAAACTATGAAATAACATATATGGAATCAGGTAGTAACCAAAAAAGTGTTAAACAAATCAAAATATATTTTATATTTGAGATCCTTCAAAGTAGCCACCCTTTGCCTTGATGACAGCTTTGCACACTCTTGGCATTCTCTCAACCAGCTTCATGAGGTAGTCACCTGGAATGCATTTCAATTAACAGGTGTGCCTTGTTAAAAGTTACTTTGTGGAATTTCTTTCCTTCTTAATGCGTTTGAGCCAATCAGTTGTGTTGTGACAAGGTAGGGGGGGTATACAGATGATAGTCCTATTTGGTAAAAGACCAAGTCCATATTATGGCAAGAACAGCTCAAATAAGCAAAGAGAAACGACAGTCCATCATAACTTTTAGACATGAAGGTCAGTCAATCCGGAAAATGTCAAGAACTTTAAAAGTTTCTTCAAGTGCAGTCGCAAAAACCATCAAGCGCTATGATGAAACTGTCTCTCATGAGGACCGCCACAGGAAAGGAAGACCCAGAGTTACCTCTGCTGCAGAGGATTAGTTCATTAGCGTTAACTGCACCTCTTAACATCAACTGCACAGAGGAGACTGCATGAATCAGGCCTTCATGGTTGAATTGCCGCAAAAGAAACACTACTAAAGGACACCAATAAGAAGAAGAGACTTACTTGGGCCAAGAAACATGAGCAATGGACATTAGACCAGTGGAAATCTGTCCTTTGGTCTGATGAGTCTAAATTTGAGAGTTTTGGTTCCAACCACTGTGTCTTTGTGAGATGCAGAGTAGGTGAACGGATGAGAGCCTTGCGGTTGCGGATGGTGCAGTTGCCGTACCAGGCGGTGATACAGCCCGACAGAATGCT